CATTTCTCATTGTGGTGGCTTCTCTTGTTGCGGAGCACGGGCTCTAGGCACACGGGCTTCAGTAGTTGTGGCACGTGGGCTCAGTAGTTGTGGCTCGCGGGCTCCAGAGCGCAGGCTCAGTAGTTGTAGCACACGGGCTTAGTTGCTCTGCAGCATGTGGGATCTTCCTGGACCAGGGCTTGAACCCGTGTCCCCTGCATTGGCAGGCGTATTCTGCGCCACCAGGGAAGCCCACGTATTTGTTTTTTAAAAAAACTGTGCACAAACACATAACTGAACTTAGACTATCGCAAAGTTAAATTCCTGATTTTTAATGCAAAAAAAATACAAACTTTGGGGGCTTCCCTGGTGGCGCAGTGGTTGAGAGTCTGCCTGCCGACGCAGGGGACACGGGTTCGTGCCCCGGTCCGGGAAGATCCCACATGCCGCGGAGCGGCTGGGCCCGTGAGCCATGGCCGCTGAGCCTGCACGTCCGGAGCCTGTGCTCCGCAACGGGAGAGGCCACAGCAGTGAGAGGCCCGCGTACCGCAAAAAAAAAAAAATACAAACTTTGGTAAAATGTCTCAGACAACATGTGACATATACTGAGGGCTTGCCAAACTCTCGTGAAGGCATTATCTCTGCAAGTCTGATCAGACTGTTCAGGAAGCTGCGATCACAATTCCTACCATCCACAGTCCCTTCCGAGTGACCCCACCCACCACTGCAGACCCTGCTGAAAGGAGCCCACCCCTCCCTGGGGAGAGCTCGGGGACCAGGAGCCCCTGGCGCCCAGGTCAGCACCTGGGGGACACGGTGGAAGGCGACAGAGCTGTCACCCTGTCTCCAGGATGTCCGCTGGGAAACAGGAAGAGGATGAGGTGGGCAGAGCTGGGAAACGGAGAACATGCAGCAGACAGTGTGCAGAAGCAGTCAGTGGTTAAGAGCAACAGTGGAAGTCAACGGGGAAGGTCAAGACCAGGGTGGAAGCCGGATCCCGCCAGGGCCCAAGCCGCAGTTCCATCAGCCCCAAGGCCCAGCACTACCTTGGTCCCTGGACCCCGCTAGATTCCTTTTTTCCTTATTCCTATGTGACCCTAAACCCCTGGACTTGAAGTCGGCCCGCTCCCTGCCATCCTGGGGCCTGACTACAACAGCCAGGCGTCCATCAAAGACAGACACAAACGATAAAGGCAATTCCCACCACGTGCCCTGCAGCCTGCCACCAACAAGGCTCTGCTAGGCCAGAGGTTACACCAAATGACACACACTGTTTGGGTGGCAGGGTCGCCCTGAACAGAAATAATCCCCCAGACAGGAGCGCATCACCCCATACTGAGCAGCTCACCCTGAGGGGAGGGATGACAAGGCCTGCTGCTGGACCCGTCAGGACGAGCACACGCCAACACTGAAGGGAAGACTCAAGACAAAGGGCATCTGAAAGGTTCACTAACTCACTGGCCCTCCATCCTGCAACGTGACTGATCAGTACTTTTCAAGATTCTGACAAAGCTGTAGGACCCTTTCCCCAAGGAATCCTAGATGGAAAGAAGCAGCTGCTCTGTCCCCTCCCCAAGTCCCCCAGACGCATCCTCAGAGCCACAGTGCTTCTGCATCAGGAGTCTGAAACCACCTCGTCAGACAGCAGGTCTGCTGGGTCAGTACCAGGCCCTCTGTGAGTGAAACTCCCAGAAACAGTGACTAGGCCAGTGGGGCTGACACACCGACACTAGGCACGGCTGCTGGCGAGGGCACCCAGCAGCTAGGCACCCTGTCCACTCGCTGGAGGGCAGACAACACAGCCGGAGGGGCCTCATTTGATGGGGCCCTTTGCAGCCAGGCCTTTCCAACCAAACCACCATGCCCCCCAGCCCTTGAATGTTTATTCTAACAATTTCCAAACTGAACCTTTTCTACACTATATTTCACCTTCCACGTCTTCCTAAACAGATTGTACAAGACAGAACAGTAACCCATCACAGTTGTGAGTCATCACAACTGGTGTCAGGCAGTAAACCCATGTGGCCTCACCTCACTATGACCCCATACTGTGAAGCTTTGGGTTCCCTGGGCTGCACTGTTTTTACCTCCTCATCACCCTCGCCATCAGTATAAGCGTTTGAGGGAAAAAGGAGGCACATACATATTCCTACTAAGGGATGGGCTCCCAGTGCAGAGGTTCTTAACTTGGTCTCTGTGAACCTGAATGAGAAAAAAAATCACATCTTTATTTGCAATAACATCTGGCTGAAATTTAACACTCACTCAATTCCACCGGCAGACGTGAAATCCTGGAGAGCACCTGTGACTTCTTCACCAACAGAAACTGCAGGTATTTGCACAGAGCATTAGCATCATATACTCAAGAAGAAATTATTAGAGCCAGTGTTCAATCTGTTACTAAGTGAGCTACTAAAAAGCATGTAAAGAAATTTATCACCAGTTTGGTTCAGTATTTTGCTAACTGTATTTCAGTGTAATAGGTTCTCTTCTTGATCCTCTCTTATTTTTTCTAAACCGTTTGTAGGAGGAGAGGAGGAGTCTGGAGACCAGCAGAGCGCAGGGAAAGGTCCTCTGGGGCGCATGATTTGCATCAGTCCAGAAATTTCAAGGTTTTCTTCTAAACAGTTTCAATTAGTTTGAAACAAAAGCGAAAGTTATAACCAGAATGTTGCCTTTCACTAATCCTAAGTAATACTTTCCTAAAGTTACAACACACTGATACGGAAATGTAAACGTAGCACACTGAGGACAGCTGTTTGCACCCAATTCCATTAGTGCCGACGCTCAAACCCTCAGCATAGAACGTTAATCTTCCGAGTCGTACTTCACCTACCATATTTCAATTCCCACTTGTAAATCTCTGAAGCAGGAAGAGTCCTTCCACTGCTGCCTTCGGAAAGCCGTGTGTCAGTCAATATCACACAGCCGTGCATCGCTGATTCAACCAAATACTGTAACTAAACGATCTACATACCACTCTCCACGCTCGGTAAATTAAGAAAAAAAATGATGCAAGGCAGATTTGAGTCAGTGAGCCATCTTCCAAATGCATGTACAACTAGATTTGAGAGTATCACCAATAACTGTACTGGCAAAATTTTTACATTTCACTTCGATTCTTCCATACAATATTCAAAATACTTTATATAAAATTATGTATTATATAAATACATAAATCCCTTTTCAATATGTCAGGAAAAATCATACAAGTATACCCAACGAAAGCTGAGGGTTTCATTTACCATAAAGTAGAAAGCACTCCCTTCCTAAGGAAAAACCAGTAGTTTCTATTAAAAACTAAGTCTTGGGGCTTCCCTGGTGGCGCAGTGGTTGAGAGTCCACCTGCCGATGCAGGGGACACAGGTTCGTGCCCCGGTCCGGGAAGATCCCACATGCCACGGAGCGGCTGGGCCCGTGAGCCATGGCCGCTGAGCCTGCGCGTCCAGAGCCTGTGCTCTGCAACGGGAGAGGCCACAACAGTGGGAGGCCCGCGTACCGCAAAAAAACAAAAAGAAAAACAAAAAAACCTAACTCTTGGGATCAAAATTAATTTCAACCCTCTTGCGAATGGCAAATCTATCCTGGATGGTTGCAGGTGTGCGATCAAATTTACCAAATGCATATTCGCGCATGTATAGGTATCCCCCCCGCAAGGATCTGCCTTCTGCCCTTACCCGCGCCCCCAGTCCGCCCCGCCCCGCGCCGCCCCCGTCCGGGACTCCGACCCCAGGCAGCACGCGGTGAGACGCATTCTAGGAGTCAAACTTCAAGAAGGAGAACCTGGCTGGCCGAGGCTTGGAACCGCTATTCAACAGCCCTGACGATGATATAAAGCAGACTAACGCTCCCTGCCTTTTCTGAAGTGACTCACGATCTCTTTCTAAAGGAATGTGGAATTCCAGCGAGTGGCCGGACCGTGCCCGACGCGCCCAGGCCTCTACTTCACATCGGCTGTTTATTACTCGCGACGCATTTGTCACTCATTCCAGACACCGGGCACCCGGCTCCCTCCCAGCCTCGGACTCGGCGACGGCCGACGCAGGGCCTCGGTGACCCCCCGAAGCACCCCCGCCGCCGCCGCCGCCCCCGCGACGCCGGCCCCGCCCCCGCGCGCGCCCGCTCCAGGCCCCGCCCCCGCGCGCCTCCTCAGCCTGGGCCCCGCCCCCGCCGCGCGCCCCCGCGCCCCCCGCCCCGCCCGCGCAGGGGCGCGCGCCGCGCTCCGAGAGGGACGGTTAGGAGCGCGCGCCTCACCACGGGCCCCGCGCGGCGGCGGCGGCGGAGCCTTCCAGAAATTTCCGCGTCCCTAAGCCCACACCGAAAAACAAGCGGGGCGCGCCCCCGCGCCGGCCCGGCGGACAGCGCCCCTCCCCGCGGCCGCGGCTCCCCTCCCCCACCCGAGCCCCCTCCCCGCCCCCTGCCCCGGGCGGCGGGTCTGGCGCGGCCCTCCCGGGCGGCGGCAACCCGCGGAGACCCGGGCGGCGGCGGCGGGACGGTGGCCGCGGCGCCTGCAGGCCGGCGTGATTGATAGTGACGGGGCGGCGGAGCGGCGGCGGCGGCAGAGCGGTTGAGTGACAGCTTACCTGGGTGCCAATCTTCATCACACTGACAAGCGGCTGCAGCAATCGGGACCCGCAGTGCCGCGCCCGCGTCCAACCGTCACGCCGACGCTGGGCCACGCGACACAGCCTCGCTCAATGGGAGGAGGGCGACGCCGACGCGCGCCGCATCAATATTCACAGAGAGGGCGGGGCCTTCCGGGCCCGGGCCCCGCCCCGTCCCGGCGCCGCGGCGGCCGGGGGCGGGGCCTGGCGCCGGGGGCGGAGAGTGAGCCGGGGGCTGGCGGAGGCCGGCCCCACCCCCGCCTCGCTCCCCAGTCGGGCCCCGCCCACGACCGCTGCGCCGCGGCGCGAGGAGAGGCCCACCCCGCTGGCAGCGAGCCCCGCCTCACTACTACGCAGATGGGGGGCCACGCCCCCTCCGCTCGCTCCTCAGCGGCCGGGGGAGGTGTGTGGTGGGGCTCGGGTGGGCGAGACCATTCGCGACGGTCCGGCGGGGAGGGCGGGCTGTACCATCCGCGGGAGGAGCCTCGGGTCCTCTTCGCGCGCTAGGGCGCCGCGGGGCCCGGCCAGCTCCGGGCTGCCCTCGGAGGCCGGGCCGCGCGGGCGTTTGGCGCCCAGGCCCCTACTCTGCGCAGCGCCCTCTTTTGTGTACAGGCCCGCGGCAGCCCCCCGCTTTCTTCCCCGCGGACGCGCACGTGCGTCCCGAGCGCGGCGGCTGTGCCCAGAGACCCGCCTGACCCCGGGCGCCCTTAGCTCTGGTCCGGGCTCCAGCCACCGCAGCACGCTCGCCTCTGGTCTCGCGCTCTGCCCTCAGGGACCTGTGCCCCGGTGATCCACGCAAGGCCCGGTCTGCAGGTGAAGTGGCCTCCCTTAGAGCGACCCGGAAAGTGTGGTCGTATTTCAAGGTGGACTTTAAAAGGCGGTGCTGCCTTGCGCCCGCGGGCCCCGCCGGTGGCCGTGCGCTCCAAGACGTTAAAGGAAGGGCAGGCCTTCCCTAGTGCAGAGGCACGGGGCTTGGCTGACTGTCCATTTTTGCAGAAACCTTCCTCCTGTGTGGGATCGCTGTCTGGAGAAGGGCTCCCGCGCTGCTCCGGGAAGAAGCAGACCCAGGACGGGAACACGTGGCTGAAAGGTGCCTGGGGTGGGTTCAGTTGTGAACAGCTCGTCAGGACATCCCTCCTCTAAGTCTTCAGGGTTCCACCAACACCAGGAAGCCACAGACAGTCTGTGTGGCCCTGCAGAACGGCTCTGGTTTCCAGAGAGTAGGTTGTAGCAGCGCTTGGGCTCAGGGGAGGCCAGTGAGCCACTGACCAGTGGAAAGTTGGAGGGAGGGGACCCCAGAATCTCAGTGATGCAGACTGGCTACCTATATGTGCAGGGCCCAGTGCAAAATGGAAATACAGGTCCCTTGTTCAAAGGATATTAAGAATTTTAAGGCAGGGACAGCAGAGCATTATACGAAGCTCGGGCCCAACCGTCTGCACTGGTCACAGGCGCGGTGCAGCAGCCCTGGCCTCACTGGCTTCATCCTAGTGCTGGCCCAGGGCTGAAGCTTTCACCTGGTTCCCATCAAGTGTGTGAGGCAGCAGGGGTCTCGGACCAGGAAGACCTGGGGGTGTGCAGCCCCCTGATAGCCAGGTACAAGTCACCAGGCAGATGAGGCCCAGGACCTGCACCCCAGTCTGGCCTCTGCGCCTGGTCTCCTCTACCCGTGCCCCCCATGATCTGCCCGCTCTTTCTTTCCTTCTCTCTACAGGGCCATCTCCAGAAAAGAGGAAGAGCTGCAAGTGCCGTCGGTGATCCCCTCCAGGTTTGCGGCTCTAAGGCTCACACATTTGGGGGCCCTCTTTAGGAAAAATAATTCAAAATGAGGTAGAAGTGGGGTCACGGAGGGCAAGGCTTCCTTTGCTTCCATTTGCCTCCCTCCACAGCCTGCCCCCTAGTATTGGCACCAGGGTGGTTTACTAATAGTAAAGGAACGTTTGTGCACAAGCAGCTCTTCTGAGTACTTTCCTTCCAATTTCTTTTTTATAAAGATTTGCTACTATTTTCCCAAGGACCACGTCTAGGTGTGTGAAATGAAAAGCCTCATATAATTGTTTATAGAACTGTCCAGATGACGGTAGGTGCTGTGAGGCCAGGAGGGGAGGGCACAATAGGTGGGCGCAGGCAGGGAGGTGGAGGAACGCTTTGAGGGACCCACAGGAAAGGCAGAAAGAACTCTGCCAAGGCGCCGGCCAGCCTGACAGAGCCCCGCTCTGTGCAGCGCTGTCTCAAGCTGGAGCGGTTTGGGGAGAATGTAGGAGAAAGGCGAGCCTTGGACCCTGCCTGGCGGAGCTTATGAGTCAGTGCACAAAGCCTGTGGCAGCCTGGATGGGGTGCAGGGAGCTGCACTGTGTGGGGGATATTACAGGGTGAAGGCTGGAGGAGGTGACGGGGGCAGGCATGGCTTGGGCCATCCTCAGAGGATGGCTGGGATCTGGGGCTTTGGTAAGAAAAATGAGTGAGAAAAACACCTAAAAATAAGGGCAAGTCTCTTGGCTTGTTATGGTGGCCAGTGTGGCTGATGTGTGTAAGCTGCTTCAGTTTGCATAGGTGAGCAGGAAGTCACCAGTGATGAGTAGGGGATGATCCTTTTAAAAATATGTCAGACCTCATCACTGCTGTGCTCAACCCCTCCGAGTGTTACCCATCTCATTCAGAGCAAAAGCAAAGTCCATTCAGAGCCCCTGAGGGTCTCCCGGATCTCTCTCCCCTCTGCACTTCTGACCTCAGCTCCCACCACCCTTCCCCTCACCCACTCTGTTCCAGTCTGCCACCTTGTGGCTCCTTGCTCTCTGCAAGCATGATTCAGCCTCAGGGCCTTTGCACTGCCTATTCCCTGTGCTTGAAGCACTCTTCCCAAAGATATCTGCATGGCTTTCTCCCTCACTCCCTGAAATCTTTCTCAACATCACTTTCTCAGAAGAGGTTTAAAATTGCAAACTCCCAACCCATTCCCTATCCTCACCCTGCTTCCTCCTCTATGGTACTTGTGTAGGTACATGTAACATATGATGTAACTATGTAACCATGTAACTTGTTTATTATGTCTATCATCCAACACTCCCACCCCCAACACACACACACATTAACACTAGAATCTACTCTCCAGGAGAACAAGAATTTTACTCTGTTTTGTTCACTGATGTATACCGAGCACCTGTACTAGTGCCTGGCAAGGAAATATTTGTTGAATGCATGAACGAGTGCTTCTGAGGCATGGTGTATTGGTTAGCTATTGCTTCATAACAAATTATCCCAAACTAGTGTCTGAAAACAACATACATTATCTCAAATTTCTGTGGGTCAGGAATCTGGGCGTGTCTTGACTGGGTCCTCTGCCTCAGGGCCTGTCACGAGTGGCCGTCAGGGCTGGGGTCTCATTTGAAGGCTTCACTGGGGAAGGATCCACGTCCAAGCGCACATCGTGTGGCAGATGGACTGAGGGCCTCTGGTCCTTGCTGGCTCTTGGCTGGAGGCCCCTTCAGATTCTTGCCACATGGACCTGTCCAGAGAGGAAAACAGCAGCTTGCTTCATCCAAGCCAGCAAGGAATAGAGTCTGCTAGGCAGACAGAAGTTGCACTGTTATGTAAAGTAATCCCAGAAGCATCTTCCCATCACCCTTGTCTAGTCTATCGGTTAGAAGCAAGTCTCAGGTCCTGCCCACACACAAGGGGAGGGGGTCACAGGAAGACACAAACACCAGGAAGAGAGGATGCCCCAGGGCCAACTTAGGGCCCACCCAAGTGGTATTTCTTTTTCTGTGTAAAAGAGAGCACTGTGGTGTAGTCAGAAGAGCCCTGGGCTTGCAGTCCACAGTGCTGGGGATGGAGTCTGGCTTTGCCACTTGCTGTGTGAATGTGGATGAGGGCACTTGACCTCCCTGAGATCCAGCTCCCTGCCTTCAGTGGGGACTTCGTACATCTCTCAGGGGATCTGCAGAGGAGGCAATGAGCTGTGTGTGGAAGGCTCCCAGCACACAGTGGGTGCCCAGGGCCGAGACTGGAGGAACCACGGTTCTTCATGCCTGAGCCCCGTTTTTTTTTAATTGTGTAACTTTTTTATTATGAAACATTATCTATCTGCAAGGGAGCAGATAGCATATACGTACATTTATATAATAATAAAAGGAATATAAATACACTTATCAATCTTGGGAAATAGAACACTGCCATTACCTTTCAAACCCACTGTCCCCTTTCTTAAATGCTTTTCTTTTTCTCTAACCAGAAATAAACATATCCTGACTTCTGTTTTTTGTTTTGTAATTCCTTTGCCCTTCCTTATAGTTTTACCATCTAGATTTGAAATCTCAAATAATATATATATTTTACTTTTCACTGTTTTAAAACAATATTTGAATTTTATTGAGTCTTGTTCTTTTAACCTAATCTTTGGTTTGAGACATCCATTTATGAGTCTGCACAGTACTGAGGCTCACTCGTTTTAAGGGCTGTATACTATTCCATCTGTATAACCACTGTTTATCCAATCTACCCTTTTTTTTTTTTGACATCTTTATTGGCGTATAATTACTTTACAATGTTGTGTTAGTTTCTGCTGTATAACGAAGCGAATCAGCTATATGTATACATATATCCCCATATCCCCTCTCTCTTGCATCTCCCTCCCACCCTCCCTATCCCACCCCTCTAGGTGGTCACAAGGCACCGAGCTGATCTCCCTGTGTGATGCAGCTGCTTCCCACTAGTTATCTATTTTACATTTGGTAGTGTATATGTGTCCATGCCACTCTCTCACTTCTCCCAGCTTACCTTCCCCCTCCCCGTGTCCTCAAGTCCATTCTCTACATCTGCGTCTTTATTCCTGTCCTGCCCCTAGGTTCATCAGGACCTTTTTTTTTTTTTTTTGATTCCATATATATGTGTTAGCATACGGTATTTGTTTTTTTCTCTCTGACTGACTTCACTCTGTATGACAGACTCTGGGTCCATCCACCTCACTACAAATAACTCAATTTCATTTCTTTTTATGGCTGAGTAATACTCCATTGTACACATGTGCCACATCTTTCTCCATTCATCTGTCGATGGACACTTAGGCTGCTTCCATGTCCTGGCTATTGTAAATAGAGCTGCAATGTTCATTGCAGC